TGTCCTAGTTCAAGGGTCTAATGTATCCAGGTAACTCACATGAATGGTGGAGTGGGCTCATGTGTGGAGTTGGGACACCAGGATTCCATGGTATTGGGACAGGGAACAGTTGGAAACAGAGGCCCTGGCCTTTATTTTAGAAAGGCATCAAGTCAAGGGGAGCAGCTGGAAGATTACAGAGGAGAAAACATACTTGTGCAAGAGAGCATGCTAGGGATGGTAACAACACCATCCAGGCTAAGGGCATCCAAGACTGGTGAGCATGGTCAAGGCAATAGGCATAGTTGGATTTGAAGCCTACACCCCAGAAGCAGCCCCTGTACCTCTCGCTACAGCCCTGCCAAGACTCAAGCTCACACCCACCAGACCCTCTTTGAAACTAAAAAAAAACTTCAGATAGTTAAATGAAAATTTTTGCAGATCAACACATTGAACTATTGCCACGTGAAGGTTGAGCAGAGCTGCAAGGGATGAAGCAGATGGAAAAAGAGGAAAGTACTAGAATGTGAGATTTGGGGGAACCACAGTGGGGAGTCCTAGGAATCCCTGTAACAACCACATGTAAAACATTCTTTCATGGCATGTGGACACTGAAGCACTGAGCAAACCCCAGATGAACAAAGACAGGGCCCATGCCCTTGAGGAACTCACCAAAGAATCTAAACTCATAATGCTACTGTTCAAGTGCAGTTAGTGCTATGCAGGGACTTGTGGAAAGGATGGTGGGGACGTGAGAAAAGTACCCTCCTATCTTAAAAGTTTGATGTCAGTGCATGTAACGAGAGTTTTAACTAATGGGCCTCCTTCTCCTTTACCATCCCTACTCCTAAGAGCCTTCTAAGAGGTGAAAAAATTATCAAAGAAAGATCTTGACCCTACCCAAATGTCACTTTTCCAAAGGACACATTTCTGGACACCAAGCTTTACCTAGAGCTTTGCAGAGCTTCAAAACCCTTTCTTTGGGAGGAGAGGGGACTAGGAATTGAACCCAAAGCTTTTACACTGAGCTACAACATCAGCCTTAGCCCCATTGCTATTTTTTATTCAGTGGGCTCAGACTTGCCATCCGCATGCCTCAGCCTCCCAGAGTGCTAATATTACAGGATTTCACCACCTTTACTCTAGGACAAGTCCTGTCTGACCTGGGGAAGCTTGCATTTCCCTGCCTGAGTACTTTGCACCCAGGAACCTGCTTGTATCCAGCCAAGTGGTCTTGTCTTCCTTCTACACACCCACCCCTCCCCAACCACAATGCTCCAGACCTGCAGAGGGCCTTTGCTTATGAAGCCTCACACCTCCTCCTGGTTCACACCTTCCCCTCAACCTGCCTCTCACTCAGCCAGGGGGCTCCTACTCATTGCTGGCTTCCGGCCTCAAGGCCCACCCGTCTGCAGAGCAGCACAGAAAGGGGCTCAGCACAGTGGTTGCCAGGCCCTCCCCAGGGCAGGAAGGAAGCCTGCACCCACCTCTGGGCATTTGGTGGTGACTCACTGAGGAGAGTGCACTCCCCCACACCAGACCCAGGGAAGACAAAAGTCCTTCCATTACAGAGACTCACTTCAAAGCCTCAAACCATAGGCAACCAATGGCCCTTTCCAAACTCCCCTTCCTGCCTGTCCTACAGCCACAGTAAATGTCTTCCAGCTTCCTCAAAGCACCAAGTACCTTAAGCATGGAGTTTTTCCTCTACTTCCTATGGAAACATTTTCATTTGGTTTCCTCTTGCTCATTCCTCCATGCAATTTCACTCTGACTACCTATGGCCCCCACCAGCACCTAGACTGACCTCTTTCGTGGGAGTTTACATGGTAATTCCCAACTTATCTAACTGTATCCCTAAAAGGTTTTAAGTTCCTTGAAGGCCAGCCTTCTTGTCTTGCACAAGGCTGTGTTCCCAGTCCTTTGTACTTGAGTCATCATGGGTACTTGGTTAATATGTGTTTTGATCTGAAAAGAAGTGAAAACAAAACTGTAGAAATAATATTCTTACAAGACAGTGGAGGGAGAGAAGGAATTTGAGGAGTTGTTCTCTTACATTTGGAAACATCTGGAAACATCTTAGAAATACAAATTCTTGGTTGCATCCAAGAACTGCTGATTCACAAACTCAGGGCATTGAGTTCAGCAGTTTCAAACAAATCTCCCAAGTGGTTTTAACACATACCGAGGTGTGAGAATAACCACTGTAGTCCTACAGCCAAGCTCAGGTCATAGCATGCAACCACATGAATATTAAATATCAGAAAAATTTTACATTCATATCAAGTTTTTCAGCTAACCACACACTTCTCCATCTTCACCCGTGTCTTCTTACAGCAGGTGGTATAGGTCAGCAACAAGTGTAACTAGAAATTTGTTAAGCTCCATTCAATAGATACAAAGCCTGCAGTTGAAAACAAAAACAAACAGAACCACTTTCTCAAATGATACGATTAAATCTGGTAGAGGAAAAGGAGGAGTCTGGCCCAAGGCTTTTTCCACAGTAACCCAAAATCATTCAGACACCTGTAAAATAAAGCTCCAGAGAATTCACAGTTCAAGAGCCAGAGATGGGACTACAAAGACACTGGAGATGTAGTAATAATCTTCAGGAGGATTCCTGAGGGATTCAGTACCTAAAGATACCAAGGAGTCCTTCCTCATAATTTAAGACAGTAGCCTGTACATCTTGCAATATAGAAATAGGATAGTAGGATAGTTTTGTTTGTTTGTTTTGTATTTTAAGGAAAAATATCCAACTCATGCCCCCAGAAATGGCATTCTTTTAAACCACAACTTTGCTAAAGAGAAGAACCCCCAAGTACAGGAAACCTCGCTTCCAGATATAGAGATCTTACAAACACCTAAGCTCGGTGGACACAGTAGCAAAAGTTCTGGAAAAAAGGGGACAAAGCTGGACCCCAAGGGTCTTGCCTGTGTGTGAGTAGCTGTCTGGCACCCCCTGGTGTTCAGTATCAGGATGAAAAAGAGCTGGAAGGCAACCATGATGGTGAGTGGTATATTCCACAAATGGCAGTGTGGCCAGTGAAGGGGACAGCAGGATGGGCTCAGGAGTGGATAGGGGTCACTCAGTCTACCATCTGGGATATGCTGGAAGCCTCTCAGACCTCACCCAGTGCTGGTGGAAAAGCATTCAGTGGGATGTGTTGCCTAGAATGTGAAGCTGCATCCAAGCTCACCAGTGGCCTCCACCAGGATGATGGATCATCACGTCCCTCATGCTGGGTGTTTGACCAAAGGGTTTTTCTTCCTGCCTATTGCCCAGAGCAGAGGCTTATAGCCCTTTTTTTGTTTTGTTTTTAAGGTAAATTGACTGCTCTGCAGAAGATAGCTTGGGCCCCTGAGGAGACATTTTGAGGCAGATCTGAATGTGCTAAGTCAGTGGGTGATAATGGGCACTGTGTGCCTAGCAAAGGCACTCCCACCCCTGGCCATAAATAGTTTTAACTGGCTCACACAGAAAACCTGTGTAGCTCTTCCTTCCCGCTAGCTGCTCCCTCTGACTTCCACCCCCCACCCACTTAGGGTTCTGATCCCCCCTGGGCAGATCCCCCAAATTACAGCCCTGGTGTGAAAAGATATCTTTCATACCTAAGCCATAGCACCCTCACCGCAAGTGTGCAGGGCCAACCCATGCTTCCAAGATCAGCTCTGGCCACACAACAAGGGCTTACCCAGGAAGCCGCACTGAGCTGAGCCGTTAACTTTGGTTGGGTCCTGGCTCCTCCTCTTATAATGAGTCATTTAAGTCATATAAATCAAGTCATCAAAAGTCTCCACATCTAGTCTCTTCATTGGAAAATAAAGATCTTGCCCCTGAAATTAGACTGACATAGCTCTAGTGATTTCATAGAGCTGAATATGTTAATCAAACAGATACCTTCCCTCTTACCTTGAAGTCCGCACACATGCTTCACATGCTGTTCACATGTCTGGACAAGTTCCCTGCCTTCTGTCTCTCACTTGAGTAGCACCTCTTCACCTTCAGTCTCAATTTAGACACTTCGAGTAACACTTCTGCAGGTCCCTGACTAGGCTGAGACCCCCTGCCCAGATTCCCATAATCCTCTACATGCTCAGAAGAGGTCTTGAGAGGTGTTCATTGACTGTTTGCTGGTCTGGGCTCCTACTATGATAAACCCTGTAAGACCAGAGCAGGTAATCCAGCCTACCTTACTCACCTCAGCATCTGTCAAACATGCTGCAGTGCCTATCACAAAGTAGGCACTCAATAAGTAATGATTTGACTAGATGAATGAAAAACAGGCTGGAGCCAGAGGGCAGAGGCCAAGTCATAAACACAGCTGTGACTTGGCTTATCTCGTGGCATATCTGTATACTGTGCAAACTTGCCTCCAGCATGAGGTGGCAGTCTTGGAACCCACTGGGATGCATCCTGGTGAGGTCTCTGCTCATTGTTTTCAGTGCTCTGATTGGTCACTCAGGTGGGCCACCCCAAGATAGTCCTGGTCCATTCTGTAGCAGCCAGAGGAGCTGTTTCTATTCTTCTGTGTTTGTAATGATGTTTTAAGATCTGGTTCTGTGGTTCTGAGGAAAAAAGAGAAATGGGGAAACCCTGATTTCATTCTCAGCCTTCATTTTCAGAAAAGGAAAGAAAACCCAGGACAAAGAGGGGATTTCCTTCCCAAGGCCACCTGGCTCAGTATCAGTGTAGAAAGATGCTGAATCCTTCCTTTTTCACATGCTTTTTCAGAAGGAGAAAGAAGATAGGGGATTGATATTTGGAGTGAAGGGCTGAGGGTCTGAAGGAAACAGGGCAGACACACAGTCCCCAATTATGATGTACTTCTCTGCAGCCATCACATGGTTGGGGGGAATATAAGTTCTCCATACCATTCATGCCACATTCCCAAGGAAGTGAGAAGCTCTGACCAAGAGTTCACAGTCATGGTAACACACACACACACACACACACACACACACACAGCACTCGTATTCATGGTTTCTTCTCACCCAACCTCCCTGTCTGACCCTGACAGCTGTCCCTGGGAACGTTGTCGTTTTAGGCCATGGAGGGCTGAACCAGCTGGGAGGGGCCTTTGTGAATGGCAGACCCCTACCGGAAGTGGTCCGCCAACGCATCGTAGATCTGGCCCATCAGGGTGTGAGGCCCTGCGACATCTCTCGCCAGCTCCGTGTCAGCCATGGCTGTGTCAGCAAGATCCTTGGCAGGTAAGCACGAAATTCATCATACATCTGCCTGCCACCCTTGTGACCACAAGCAGACTCACACTTCCAGAAACTAAGGGGCTGCTCCCGATATCCAGCTTTGGTCCTGAGATCTGAACAGGCTGAGGTGGTACTTCAGCCTGTCACTGCTCTTCTGTTGTTTTCCTATCCTTCCTTCTTCCTTTATTTCTTCTTGCTTTAGTTTCTTCTCTCTTTTCACTTTCAATCCATATCAATCCTGCCATGTGCTCCTCAGGCAGGAGAACCCTTTCCAATGGTCCTTCCCCTGCTGAGACCTAGAAAAATGAAGCCCCTGGGGAAGGGACAGTGAGAGGTGGCTTAGTGTTTCAGGAGGAATGTGAGTTTGTGCTTCTCCCACAGCATCTGCAACAGAAGTACTGGGGTTATTTGGTGAAATTCATATTCCCAGGCCCAGCCAGCTGCTGTGAATCAGCCTCTCAGGGGCCAGGGCCTGGATGCTGTGATTCTTATGAAGTGGGCAGGAAACATATAAGAACACTAACGATTGAGAATCATCAATCTGTAAGAACCAGTGCAATACTTATAGCCCTGGCCATACCCAGGGAACCTTAATTTAAACAATACAAGAAATCAGGATTTAGACTCCAGCCCAGAACAATTCAGGAGAATGGGCCCAAGTTTAGGTATAGTGCTAGTCACCTGTCTTCCCAACGATTCCAGTTCTCTGTATCTATGGCTAAGAATGGCTGACTTAAAGGTCAGGTGGGGTCACGTAGTCTAGACTTCCACATAGTCCAGCCTTCAGAATTAGAAGTGACCCTGCACCAGAGCACTTGGGGCTGACTCAGCTCTATGATCCCTTCTTTTAACCCCTGTGTGGATAAAAGAGGCTATGCATGAACCATGGAAAGGCCTGGCTCCCTGCCCAATCCAGTCAGGGAAAAATGTGGCCTTTTGCTGGGGTCAAGAACAGGGGATTCCCAAGATGGGCTGTGAAGCACCAGAGAGGAGATGAGTTCTAGATACTAGTGACAAGCAAATGGAGTTTTTAAAAGCTGAATATAGCAGAAGAGAGCTAAGGGCTTCTGTAACCAGGAGAGGGGTGTATTGTGACCCAGCTCTGTCAAAGCAGCAAGTTGGGAGGGGCAGGGTGGAGAGAGGGGAGTAATGGAGGCCTTGGAAGAAGAGGCTCAGTTTAAGGAGCTAGACCTGGCCAGGGATCTGGAGGCCACAACTCCAGAGTCCAGGAGAAGGATCTTCAACTTGAACCATGTAACCTGGAGAAACCAGTGAGTAGGGGTGAAGGATACAGCTTAGACTTGGACAGGGCAGGGAGCAAAGGTGAACCAACAAGACAAGGCAAAGGGCCCAGTGATCCCAGCTAGCTTCTCAGGGAGGGGTAAACCCAGGATGGCCAAGAGAACAATTGTGCTTTAGCCAAGAGAAAATGGATGGAGGAGGCCACCATTGTGAATTCTGCCATTGTGAATCCCCACTGCACCTAATAAAAATATCCTTTTGTGCGAGGGACATCTCTTGTGTCTCATACGATGACCCTGTAAATGCAGACACAGAGGACTGGCCAGAGGGATGGGAAGGACAGAAGCCAGGGGAAGGCTTTCGCTGAGGGTTCTGGCTTGGCAGCAGAGTAAACCTACCCAAGCAAGGGAAACAGGCAGTTCTGGGTACGTGGAGTGTTTGAGGCCAGCCTCAGGGCCATCTCACTCTCATAACTCTTCCCAAAAGCCTCAGAGGGGAGAGAGGCTCTGGCTAAGTTCCTGGCCAAAGACCCCACCTGCTTACTGGGTAATTCTCTGGGGTTCTCTATTGGAGTAGGTACTACGAGACTGGCAGCATCCGGCCTGGAGTGATTGGGGGCTCCAAGCCCAAGGTGGCCACGCCCAAGGTGGTGGAGAAGATTGGGGACTACAAGCGGCAGAACCCCACCATGTTCGCCTGGGAGATCCGAGACCGGCTCCTGGCTGAGGGTGTCTGTGACAACGACACTGTGCCCAGTGTCAGCTCCATCAACAGGTGAGGGATAGAACCCCCCAGGTTTTAGGAAGAACCTTGAAAAAGACCAGAAGAAGGGCCCAGCTGGGGTACAGCACCTGCTAGAAGGGCCTTAAACTGAAGAGTCAGGCAGGCACACACAGGTCCACAGTGTCACCTCTCCCTGCCCCCACCCCACGGTGTGCTAGCTACAGCTTCCTCCCTCAAACACCACATCCTCTTTCACTCAACAAAAGAATCTTCTTGAACTAGTCCTTTCTTGACCCCTAGCCTGCCCCTAGTTCAAGCATTCCAGCATTTGATTGGTCCTTCAATTATTCGCACACTATCTCAATCAATCATTTACTTCCTCCTTCATTCATTCACACAGAATTCACTCCTTTATTATGTGCTAGGCCCTGGAGACACACAATCCCTGTCCTTGGGGAGCTTACAGTCTAATGGGAACACAGACATGAATCAAATATCCACACAAACACCTCCACGTCCCACTAAGGAGAGGAACAAGAAGGAATGTGAGCTAATGTAGGGTAACTTGGTTTAGCGAGGTTAGAAAAGGCTTCTGCTAAGCAAGAAGCAATGAGCAAGAGTTAACTAGGTGAAATGGGGGACAAAAAGAGCTCTGAGACAGCATATGCTAATAGGTTCTTTTACGAGAAGCTGAAAGCCTGTTGGCAGAAAGGGAGTGTGAGGTACACTGAAGTAGGAGATGTCCACAGAGGCTGCCCTTTAGGTGTTGGTGGGCATATTACATATTCTTGCTGTTGATCAATGAGCAATGGAAAGCCCTTGGCCAATTTTAAGCAGGAGAGTAAAGTGCATTTCAAACAGCCCACTGTGGCTGCAATAAAGAGCATCAATTAGAAAGGGTCAAGAGTGGATAGGGTAGGTCGGTGACCCCAGAAGGAGAGAGCTGGTGATGGCACACACTAAGATGTTGACACTGGGGTGCACAGAGGAGTCAACCCTGGAGAGGTTAACAAGGTCAAACCTACAGAATGTGGTGGTGGGTTTGATATAGAAGCAAGGGAGGCAGATATATTTCTGCCCTGAGCAATCCATGGTGCTAATCATGAAATGTGGACACAGTGGGAGGACCACGTGTGAGGAGCAGGGCTATGGGTTTGATGGTGGACTCATTGAATTGGAGATTCCTTAGAGATACCCAAGTGAGATATCAGAAAGATGACTGGTCTGGGCCAGCCACAGTCTTGTTTCCTCCTCCCCATCTTTATGGACCTTTCTGCTCTTCCCACAGAATCATCCGGACCAAAGTGCAGCAACCTTTCAATCTCCCCATGGACAGCTGCGTGGCCACCAAGTCTCTGAGCCCGGGACACACACTGAGTGAGTACTGAATCACTGGATGCTCACACACTCCTCACACACACCCCATCTGTGTACCCACACAAACACAGAGATGCATAAACACACCCTGGTACTCAGAAAACCTATGTGTGGGCTGAGTTGTTATGATGGCGCAGCCTGGCTTCCTGAACTACTCACTGAATGTGGAGGAGGGGGGAAACACTTCAGACAGCCTTGACCCTGAGAACCTCTCCATCAGTACGCCCTGCAGCAATGACTTCTAGCCCTCTCCAGGGACTTTGAGGGGTGCCACACCTATGTCCTGACCTTCCCTCTCCCTTTCACCCCCTGCAGTCCCCAGCTCAGCTGTCACACCCCCGGAGTCACCCCAGTCTGATTCCCTGGGCTCCACCTACTCCATCAATGGGCTCCTGGGAATTGCTCAGCCTGGCAGCAGCAGCGACAGCAAGAGGAAGATGGATGACAGTGAGTGTTAGGGGGGGCACAGGTGGGGAGCTAAAGGGGATGGCCACAGGAGGGCACTGTGCTCAGGCTTTGTTGGGAAAAGAAGCCCTTCCCTTTATGATCCAGGACTTTGTAAGGGCCCCACCAGTCCACACATGCAGTCATATGCCCCCTCTCTTAGCTGGCCATGCCCCAGGCCCAGGAGCCTGGCCCTTTCCCTCCCTCTTCAGCCAGTATGCTCCTTCATATTAGTTGGGGGAGGTGTCAATAGGTGCCCTGAAAGCTTTCTTCCTGCTGGGGTACCAGGTGACCAGGACAGCTGCCGCCTGAGCATCGACTCACAGAGCAGCAGCAGTGGGCCCCGAAAGCACCTTCGCACAGACGCCTTCAACCAGCACCACCTTGAGTCACTTGAGTGCCCATTTGAGCGACAGCACTACCCGGAGGCCTATGCCTCCCCCAACCACACCAAAGGCGAGCAGGTGAGATGCCGGGCGTGGGAGGTGAGTAGGGGTGGGTCAGGGCAGGAGCAGAGGCAAGCTCTCCTAAGGAGCCTGGCAGCAAAGCCACTAGAAGTTGCTTCAGTGGGGTCAGGGGCCATGCTTCACACAGTCCCAAGCCCGACATAGGCTTTATTTTATCAAATACCCTGGTGTCTTCCCTCACCTGACACTTTGCAACTGGCCCTTTTAAGAGGTCAATGTAGCCTGGGGGTGCTGTCTTTCTGCCATCAGGGTCACATCCCATACTGTGCAGTGGTGGCTAAATCCTCCCCATGATGACTGCCTCATGTTGGACTGCTCCCCTTGCACACCCTATGAGCCAGCATTACTCATGTCCCCAAGCATGTCAGCTTCATTCACACCTCTTTGCCCTCAAATATCATGTGCCCTCTTTAACAAATGCCTTTCCTCCCAATCTCTGCCTGGAAAAATACCACATAACCATTATGACTCAGCTCACTCACCCTCTCTACCAATCTATCCCTGCCCCTCCTACATGACTCATCTCTCCCACTCCTGGTCCTGCATGTCCCTCACACAGCTCTCAGTGATGCTCACAGAGCTTCGTAATAGTGTAGTGGACAGAGTGTGAAGGCAGCTGACTTCTTAAGGAAGAGACATCTTTCTCTCTGGCACCTAACCTTGTGCTCCTCTTTTAATAGCCACTCAATCAGGGTATGAGGAATGGATGAACAAATGAATGAGTTCAGAAATCCAGAATCATAAATCACGAGCTACAAGGAGTTTTTTTCTTTCCAGTACGTAGTGTAGGAGAAATGGCTTCTAGTGGATTGGCACTTGTGAAAAGCTGACCAAGAGGTGAGAGGTCCCACTCTGAGGCCAACAAAGATGCTACAATGCTGACAACCACTGACCTCTCAATTTGTTGTTATCTGTCCATGGTTTCAGTGTCTTCCTCACCTCATCCCACCAGCTGAACTAACTAAGGAGTATCTAGGGTGTGGTCCATTGCCTCCTTGGTTCACGCTGTCATTTTGTCTAGAAGTGAGGCCATCCTGAACATTTGCCTTTAAGATCTGAGTAGGACAATGGCAATGGTGCCCATAATGAACTGGACCATTGCCAGTGACTGGCTGGGCTGCTGGTCCTGTGCCAGCCCCCACAGCTGGGTAGGCAACCTGCGTCAGCGATTTTATCAGCTTTGGCTGCAACAGCTACTGGGGTGCAGAGAAAGCTGGCCTTCAGCAAAGCCAAGAGAAGGCCTGGGTGCTCATCCCAGTCAGAACAGGCTCCAGGAGGGATGTGGGGCTCGGGGATGGACCTGCAGGAAGCCTGCTCTTTGAGAGTAAGCCTGCAAAGCCCGTGTGCCAGCACCAGCAGCCCTGGGAGAGTCAAGAAACCCTGCTGAAGAGACCCCAGGCACCTGCTGGGTCCCAGAGCCATATCCTGGCTCCATCCAAAAGCCCCCCAAAAGAACATATGTGATTACAGAGAGCTCTTGAACCATGCTGGGGTACATACATGATGAATCCTGGAATGAGAGACTCATAGAGCAGACATGAGGTCTTAGAGACCCAAGTGACCACTTACTTCTGTATTCCCATTCGTGTGGTGAGATCTCAGGGTCAGGGGTACAGAGAGGGACTGAGGAAGCAGATCTTGGCAGAGCTCAGACCTGTGAGCCCTGGTGTCACTCAGATGGATCCACAGCTGCCTGTCTTAGAATTGGTGCCTCCATATATTCTTGTTTGAAGACTGAACAAAATGAAAGCATTTGAAAACTACTAAACTGCTCCAACCTCTCTCTACTGAGGAAGAAAAGGAGGCCCTGCAATTATTTTCTCCTTCACTCATACACTTGACTGGGTGGGAAGGGGCACAGAGAACCCAGCCTGTGACAAGGGCTCATTAAGTCTAAGCTCTTGGTTTTCCTGCCCTTGGTGACTGACTGTGCTGCCTCAGTAACATGATGTTCTCTCACCTGGGCACTGGAAGGTCCTCTGGCTGAGGAGCCAAGAAAAAAGCACAGATACTCACTCCAGACCTCAGCATGGGGCAGACTCTGACGTCTTGCTGGGAAATCAACTAGGGGAAAAGTGCTCAGCAGAAAGGTCATGTGGCCTCATTCCTGGTTGCTGTTTTACCACCAGGCAGAGTTAGGAGTCCATATACCTCTTCTTCCTGTATTTTACAAATCCACCAAGAAGATTAACAGAATGTGAATATCGTGGTGATAGAGATCAAAAATTTGGCAGCTTCTGACTCTTCCCATAATCCTAAAATATTACCTGTCACAACCACTTACTGAGCATCTGTTGTGACAAAGCATTCTGTGCTGAATGCTTTATATCAGTACTGTATATGAAAATTTCATTTAATCTTTACATCAGTCTTGGGAAGTGGATTCTACAATCCCTGTTAATACAGGTGAGAAAAACAGCGCTCTGAAAAGTCAAGCAGACTAAATCAACTTGGCCAATCATTATTGAACCAGAGCTTTAACTCACCCAAGTTCGGAAAGTATTATGCCACTCTGTCCCCAATTCAACTTCCATTCCAGAAAAAAATCCAGGCACCACTGCGGTGTTTACACCATTCGATGCAACATTCCCAAAATGTCTGACTGTATAAGTTTCTTTTAAAATTGTTTTTAAATGAATTATGTGGAGCAGAAATTAGATTTTTAGTAAATATTTTCACAACACATCCATAAGTCATTTTACACTTTTCTTACACTCTCTAGAAATTACGTATTTTGTTCAGTTTCATTAAGCCAAGCTCTAAGCAACTCCACCCTGCCTCTAAGTGGGCCTCTCAGAAGGCATGGAACCAGAGCACCATTTAGTCAGTAATTGCTGCTACACGCTGATGGTGCCCTGGTGGCCTCCAGAATTGACTGCAGCTTCCAAAAGTGCCCGGCATGCAACCAAAAAGTGCTGTGGCTCCTTTGAGAGCCCAGCTCCATGGAATCACTGAAAGTGATTGCCTTTAATAGACCTATTATATAACCACAGAGCATCCCTTGATTTCAGTTTTGCACACTGTTTCATACAGTGCAAAGCTGTGGATGTGTGTGACCTGTATATGGGGAATGGGTTGTGCTGTGCCTCCCTGGTGGAAGCGAGTCATGGGAGGGTGGAGGATGCTCTTGCTTTTAGTTGACTAAGTTCTTTTTTAAAGAAGCCCCTTAGGTCATAGCCATGCTCATGGCAGGCAAAGCCAATTGGAGACTACAATGAGGTCTTATTGAACAAAACCCACAAGCACTTGATAAAGAGTTTTTCAAACAAAATTAACACCAAGTTAATTGCTGAACTCACAAGCTTCTATTTGCTTGGGTTCAAAGTAAAAGGAGAAGAGAGCCGCCTTTTCTGTGAACTGGAGCTTCTGAAGTCCTGGTTTTAGTTCTGGTTTCAATACACTGAACTGGGACATTTACCTCCTGGGGGTTCAGACTCTGTAAGAACAAAACAGATTTCTTTCTCAGCCATGACACAGGGCTCCTGAGGGGATTCGATGAGAATAACAGAGGCAAAGTTCTAACGTCAGCTTTTTGCTGTCATCTAGTTTAGGGCAGCAGCTAACAGCTGCAAGGCACTGAAGTCGCCATCTTGGCTCTCTATCCCTTATAGGAGGGTGATTGTCTTTCTTGGCCTCTCTGTGCCTCCATTTCCTATCTGGAGAGGAATAAATTACAAGTAGAACAAAGGACTCAAAACTCCTCCTCACAGTCACACTCCTGTGGACTGCCTGCTCAGGCCTTGGCACTGCCCTGTACTCTGGACCCAAACTTTGTGGGGAGACGAGGATGGAGACTAGTGTCCAGCTAGGTCCTCTGAAGGACACACTCCATCCCAAACATGGACTCCCAAGCCACCAGCTCACCCTGAACTCTGGGACTTGGAAGCCTGGGACTGGGAGAACAGTAGGATTCTGAGTTGAATAGGAATGAATTAAATAAACCAAGTAGTGCTGAGAAAGAACAGGAGGAAGGAGATGAGGAGAAAAGAAGCTTTTCTCAGGGAGATTAGGGTCACTAACTCCAAAGACAGGCTGCAGGGTCTGTAGGAGGACTGGGTGGTCCAGGGGCCTCTGCCTTGCTGACTTCTCTTTCTTTCCCAGGGCCTCTACCCACTGCCCTTGCTCAACAGTGCCCTGGATGATGGGAAGGCCACCCTGACCCCTTCTAACACGCCCCTGGGGCGCAACCTCTCGACTCACCAGACCTACCCAGTGGTGGCAGGTAGGACTCCTGGAGGCTTCTGGGCCATCTCTACCGAGCTGTGAGGGTGGGCTGGAGGGCCAGGACAGCACAGCTGGCTGGCTGTCAGGAGGACAGGGCTGGGGCCTGGACCTGGAGAGGAAAGGTGGGCTGTGCTGGCTGGGTCTCAGTGGGACCCGGGGCAGGGCCTTCAGTCCTAGGCCCCCCACCGGGTCTCTTTGCCCCTCCTGAGGGTTGAGGTGGGCACACACAGTGCAGCCCCTCCCTCTGTGATGGAGGAAGGCACAGCAAGGGTGGAGCCTCGGCTCTCTCACCCACCTGAGAATCACCTGTAGCCCCTCTCCACCCCACCTCAGCTGCCCGGCCTGCCTGGCCTGCCCCCCCCACCACCACCACATCCCTCCCCACATCTCATGGCTTGGTGTGTGCATGTTCCCGCCCCGTCATCTCACACCCCTCTCTCCTTGTTGTCTCCCTCCCTCCGGCAGATCCTCATTCACCCTTCGCCATAAAGCAGGAAACCCCCGAGCTGTCCAGTTCTAGCTCCACCCCTTCCTCTTTATCTAGCTCCGCCTTTTTGGATCTGCAGCAAGTCGGCTCCGGGGGCCCAGTCGGCGCCTCGGTCCCGCCCTTCAATGCCTTTCCCCATGCTGCCCCCGTGTACGGGCAGTTCACGGGCCAGGCCCTACTCTCAGGTATGACAGGGCCGTCCCGCCGTGCAGCGCCGCGTGGGCGGGGGGGAGAGGTCCGTAGTGCCAACCCAGAGTCCCCTGGTTTGGGCTGAGCCCCCTCCACAGCCCCTTGTCCTGTCCATCACCAGCCACCCTTTTACCTGCCCAATTCCGCCGGTGCCAAGGCTTGGGTCGCAATGTCTGCAAAATCTGGGGTCCGAAGGTGCAAGCATTTTGGGGGTGCCATTGGGTCCACCACTCCCAAAACCCCAAGGAAGGATAGAGACCTTAAGGCAAGGAGCCAGTGCTATGAAGTGGGACCACTTGGTCTTGGTTAAACAATAAGAGAAGAAAACTTTGGAGGCAAAAAGGCATTGGCCTTTGAGCCAACTTCTGGATCAAATTCCTGAAAAGGAATGAGGATCAGTGCCAGTTGGTCCTCCATAGTGTAGCTATCAATACCAGCAGAATGGCAGCACCAGTGAAGGGTACCAGCATCTTTCAAGGGTCACCTCAGAGTGACTGGGTTCAGGGTTGAGGGGCCTCCTGCAGGAAACTCACCTGCTTCAAAACATGTGAAGCTATAAGCATGTTAGGTGCTTATGGAGCAGAACCTCTCCTTACACTGTTGAAGAGGAAAACCCAGCAAGGAGGAGGACCTAGTCAGTCTCTAGACAGGAACATGGTATTCCACAGGGTAAGGGCTGGGTCTACACCCCAAGGGTCAGACCTCAGGTACAGCCTGGCAGAGCTGGGTCTCCCTAACAGATGGACATTGTCCTTGGTAGTGAGGACCTGAGCAATGGCTGACAGAGTCCAGATTTGGCCTGGACACAGGCAGAGACCTCTAACAGTCTTCAGATATCTAAAGGGCTTCAACAGAAATGAGATTTGATGTGAAACCTGGGGGGTTCCAGGACTGAGGTAGCTTTGAAATCAGTGGAGTGTTCTTCATGTTAGAGTTTCTCCAAGGAGTGTGGGTCTTTAGTGACAGAGCTAATTCCCCTCTGCCCCCGATCCCCATCCAACAACCTTGAGATGCTACAGTAGAGACCAGTGGGGGTGGGTGGTGGACCTGGTACAACCAGGAGTCAGATAGGCCAACAGGAACAGTGGTTTTCAAATGTGTCAGGCCACGCAAGATGTCTGGCATACTGCCTCCAGAAAGCCACTGGACTTGGAAACCAGTGCACCAGAGAATCGGGGCTTCTGCCAGTCCAGAGGAAGCACAGGTCCTCAGATGCAAGTCCATGGTTCCTTTCTTATAACCGGTGACAAATCCTGTCTGTCTGGCACCTAGGATCATTTCTCTTCCCTGTAAATACCTATGTCTAATGGAGGAAGTCCTTTTCATAGAGATGGACACCCAATGTGTGGGCAGAGAGGCCATGTTCGAAGATCGGAAGCAATGAAAATGTTGACTCAATTTGAAACTTCAAGAGGATGAAATCAGCAGAGATGGGTCATTTGTTTTGACCAAAGTTATTAAAGGAGAAAAGCCCTAGCTGAGTGAATTTATGTCAGCCCTAGGAAATGGGATGGGGAGGATAAAGAGAGAGCAAGAAGAGATTCCTGTCTGCTGTGGGATAGAGAGGCTGGATCACCGGGCACACTTCTGTGTCTTGTGGGAATGGCAGCCAGGGCTGAGGGCTGTGGCCAAACAGGTACGCAGTGTGTGTATGGTGAAGCACATGGTGAAATGAAGCAGATTGTCAGTCACTGTGTGAGGTGCAGAGAGGGTTGGCAGGACCAGCTGAGAAGAAAGGGAAAGACAGACAGCAGCTGGAAACTGATAGATGTATCAGAGCACAGATGTGGGCTAAGGTATGAAGTATAGTGGGAATAGCCCAGGGCAAGCTCCCTGACCCTTCAGCTCCCACACTTCTCTCCTTCTGTCACTCTTTTAAGGGTCCAAGCATCCCTGTCAACATGCAGTCAATCAGGGGTGATGCCCCCAACTTCTGTCAGCTGCTAATTTAGTGGACAGGCCCACACTTCAGCCCAGCTGTAGGACTAGAAAGTCATCCAACCCACGGGACAAAGCAGCTGGCAGGAGATACCAGGTGGTCACTAGGCAGCTGGCAGCCAAATACACAGCGTCAGATGTCCTTCAGGCTGGTGGTCCTGAAAGCCAGGCACCGATGATGCTGAACTAGAGGTGTTAGCATCCATGAAGACCAGCATTGGCTCAAGGGTTACAGATTCAGCACAGAGCAAGGCTCTTAAGAAGAGCGAAGAGTGCCCAGCCTTGGAGGGACTAAGGTCCAGTCAGGTGGCCAAGATGAGGAAGCAAGTCAGGACTATTGTTCACTGAGCTGAGCCCAGTCCTGCAGATGATGGCTATGTCCCTGATGAGCTCAAGTGTTGGGTTGGAGCTTCTTATAGACTGTCTGCCTGAGGCTTCTGGTCAAGATTGGACCTAAATACCTAATACTTGGCCGACCCCTGTTTGGAGAGCTGGGAGGACAGGGAATGACAGGATGGGGGAAGTTTAGGAAGAAAAGAATGAGCCTAAAAGTCTGGGGACTTCAACCCCCCTCCAGAGGAGAAGAGGTGAATTTAAAAGGAAATGAGACCAAATAATTCCTAGGAAATGTTGCAGACAAGGGGAGAGGAAGGAGGATCTGGTGAGTTTTCATTTCATAATCAGCACAGCCATAACCTACATGAATCTTCCCAGCTCCCCTCCTCCTTGTGATCTGCTAAGACCTTCCTACCATCTCCTGCAACTCCGTTTCCTGCTGCATAGAATTTCTCCCTGAGTCACTTCTCTTAGCCCACATCTGAGTGGAATTTCCAGGGTGGCTGCCCTTCTGTCTCAGCTCCCCAGTCAGCCAAGAAAGAGGAAACATTAGGGTTTGGGAGATAATGAGATGGCTCCTAAAATGCCTTCCAGTTCCCTTCAGACATTCTAGTGTGGATTCCCACACATTGACCATGACAGTGACATCAAGGCTGCCCTTGTCCTAGCTGCTCCAAGGCTGACTCCAACTCAGCTGATCAGAAAGCTTGGAGTTAGGTTTTATCATCAAAGAGTCCATTACCCTCCTCCATCCTTTTGTGAAAAATTATATTTAGTTCTGCCAAAGAGGCTTCTGGGTTGCCATAAATTCTCCTTGCTATCAGAACAAGATAAGGAATTGAAAAGAGGTTACACAGAGGGCAGACATCAAAGGAGGCAAGTGAAATAGTCTGAAGTCATCTCTACCCCCTGAATTTCTCCAGCTTATGGCTTTCTGATTGTGTTCTCTACCACTATTGAGATTATTTACCAGTAGCTCTGGAGTGCTAGTTCCCTTAGAGAACCCCACTTCATAGCCAGCCAACAGGGCCCAGGTGTATGTCAACTTCTTAAAAATAGGGCCACATTGGAAGTATATTTGAGTGTAGAACAGAGGGAAGTCCACAGCAATGTTAAATTTATATGATGAAAAGCCTTAAAAACAGAAACGTAGGTAAGAGGGCATGTTAATCCATGATGATGGAGTATCTCCAGCTCATGGCTTCTGTTATTTTGTTTCTGAAAAGGATACAAGGTTCTTGGCTTTCTGGGAGAATTTTTTTTTTACAGTGCTGGGAATGAAGCCCAGGCTCTCATACTCATTCATGCTAGGCAAGAGCCATACTGCTGAGCTACATCCTCAGCCCAGGAAATCATTTTTAAGGAGTTGGAGTAGAGTTAGGTGAGACTGTTAGGACAATTGGTGGCAGCACAGTTTGAGTGAGGGCTGTCCTACAGAAAGTTTTACTGGTCTTTTCAGGAGGGTGGGTTTCGTGAGAGAAACCTCTCAGGGGTCTACTCCAGCATTTAATTCAGAAATCTCTATCCCCTGGCAGAAAATTAGGTGACCAAAGGGAGAATAAGATTAAAATCTCTGAATACAGTAAAGAAGCCCAATGAATTTTATTTGCAAGAGCAAGGTGGGGGTGGAGCACAATAGGTCAACTGTGGATCAGACTGTGGCCTGGGGGGGGAGGGTAGAGGGAGGGAATTTGTGCCCCAAGGTCTGGTGATAGAAAGTGATCTCGAATGTGGCCAGAAGGGAGGGGAGTATGGGACCACAGGTCACCAGGACCAGGAGGAGCCCTGGAGAGCACTGGGCCAGCACTAGCAAATAGGTGGCCTGAGAGCTAAGACTCATCTCCCACTGCTGCACCCCCAACCATGGTAGACAGATGCTGACTCAGAATTCTTCTCAACACAGTGTGCCAGGAAGCCCCTGCAATCAATCCAGAAGTAAGGTAAACCCAAGTTATAAGCTCTCATCGAAATTAGGTTCTCCTGTGATAGAGAGGAAAACGTGGTTTGGAGAAATTGATTTGTCCCTCATTTATAATCTGGTCTGGCTGCAGATCTCCCTCCCTCTCTCTCTCTCTCTCTCTCTCTCTCTCTCTCTCTCTCTCTCTCTTTCTCCACCCCACCCCGCAGAAGTAGGAAGTATGGGGCGAAGAGAAAAGGAGAAGGTATCAGACTAGAGTCAGCCACCACCCTCCTACATCTCTTCCCACCATGCCACCATCCACCCCTGTACCCTGCTCTCACAGACCTCCTGTCACTCAGTCCCTCTCAGTCCCCAGGGCCTGGCCGGGTACTTCCCCAAAGACAAGGAGGCTAAGTGTGAGGGCTAATACTATTTGCAGTCATATTTATATGAAGCTCAGGTTATCCCTTGGCATAACTTCAGCCTATTTCTACTTTTACTTCTAAGTATACTATTCTTTTCCTAACCTGTGTTTCTAGTCCTTCCTTTGTTCCCCTCTCCACCCTGTGTCAGGTGAACAGCGCCCATATGTAGAATTCCAGTGGGTTCCACCCTGTTTTGTCCAGTACCAACCATAGCCTGACACTGCAATAAGTCAAACAAATTAGAGGGTGGTGTTCAGCATTTCAAAACCTTCACACAGTTTTAAATAATGCACACTGACATCTCATTTCAAAGAGGGCTTATTCTATAAGAGTTTCACTAACATAACCATTTCCAGAATGTGCCAGTTGTACTAATCATGTTCATCTATGAAACTCTGGGTTTGAATTATGCTAATAACAACCTCAGTATAATAGTAATTCGGTGTGTTAAGGTTACACTTATTTTTCTGCATTTTACTGTAGAAAAAAATGATCTAAAATCACACACATGGCTGGTCTAGGGAACACATAAAATTAGCCATAGAAACAGAATAAGGACCCCTAGCCATTTCCCTTGAGGAAGGGCAGAAGTTGTTCATTGACCCCTTTTGCTTAGTTCCAAATGCCCATCCCAGCCATACCCCATCATGACTTAGTGCCTGGCCTTGCTCTCTGCTCTATCCCCAAGTGCTTAGAAAAGTGCCTAGTACGTAGTACTTATTCAGTACATACTTTTTAATGAACTGATTGTCTTTGGGAAATCTCCAGAGAAAGAAGTAAGGAACAGGAAGTCATGGTGGTACTGATAACTTGCAGGGTTTCGTTGGGCATCCATCATTACCAGGCACCCCTCAAAGAGGCTAGGGTATGAAGGAGCTGGGGTGGGGCATAATGGGAAGAAAGTTGGATAAGCAGTGTTGTAGAGGATGAGACCTCGTAAGTTGATGGATAAGGGCTCACAGGTAGCCCATGTAAGTCCTGGAAGACAAAACAGCCCCCAAAAATATTTGGGTCAAATAACATAGTGGTCTCAGCTGGGAGTGATTTTCCCCCTACTTCGTCCCCACTGGGGACACATGGCAATGTCTGGAAACACTTTTGATTGTCACAGTGGGTAGGAATTCCTACTGGAATCTATTAAGTAGAGGACAGGAATGCTGGTAAACATCCTACAATGTACAGAACAGTCCCACAACGAAGATCTCGCCAGCCTAGAGTGTCAGTATTGCTGGGATTGAGAAACTCTGGAAACATCACCAAGAAGTAATATGATCAAATGACTCATTGTTCAAACTGGACCATTTGGGAGTGAAATGGGCACTGTTAACAAATATGCTAAGACAGCTGTCATCACTTTACCAAGAACTTTGGGGGTGAGGCAGAGTCTAGACTGGACCTGCAGAGCATGGGGTGATGGAAGAGGAACAGGCAAGGGATCCTGGTTGTTGAGCAGAGGATAAGTGAAGAGAAGGTCATCAAGTCAGGTGGTATCTCCTAAATGCAAAGCTTTCACTTCCTGACATATTGAAGAAATAGAGCCAGGAAGATGTGGTCTTTACAGAGCTACATTGCTGTCACTAAGATGTGAGATAAACAGATATTGTCTGCTTTCCTGAAAGTGATTTTTTTTCAGAAATGCAGTTGACAGAAGTGTGACTCGTGGTCAAGTGTAAAAGCTAAATGTCTCTCAGCCATGTCTCCTTTCAGCCAATAGATTTCCTGTCCCTTGTAACTCTGGTAGATTCTGTCTACCTGGGAGGCCAAGCCAAGGAGTGGAATTTCCTCCCTGGCTCCCTGGAAAAGAGTGTGGCGATTGATTAGCAATGTCTGCCATGGGCCCAAAAAAGACAAGTGATGGGCCAGAGGGCCACACACCTGCCACCCCTTCACCAGGCCATGTTCTTGGTTTTCTGCAGAGCTGGAGTTGAAAGGGATGCTCTAGGTCAAGTGTCCTCTAGGGTACTTATTTAAGTCAGGTGTGCCTTCTGCTGTGCTGGGGTGGGCGATAATGAAGACTGAGAAGACATACCCCGTGTCTCCCATACATGACATTTTTGTGGGTGACTAAAGTAATATACAAATAAAGCCACTAGAGGACAGGAAAGGAAACCAGACTGCAATTACAAGTGCTCCCTGCATGGTATCTTCTTCCTGACAGAGGAGACAGGAATTTGGGCTCAGAGGAAGCCAGTTTGGAGAATGGCTTTGGAGAGAGTGGGAATAGCAAGCGGGAAGACTTGCTGGCCTCAGAAGAAATGTAACAATCATCACAAGAAGTCCCCATAGACCACCTGATAACTCTGCTGTATTTTTCCAGGGCGAGAGATGGTGGGACCCACGCTGCCCGGATACCCACCCCACATCCCCACCAGTGGACAGGGCAGCTATGCCTCTTCTGCCATCGCAGGCATGGTGGCAGGTAAGGGGAGGACTGGGCAGGAGGGGAAGTCCTATAAAGAGCAGGTGTTGGAGAGAGGGGAACAAATGGGAACACACTGCTGTTAGTGTCCCATTCATGGCCTTCCCAAAGGGCAAGGATAGATGAGCTGGACACCTTCTTATGAATGCCTAGAAAATGCCTCAGGGCCATTCTGGCTTCTCTACTCCTCTCAGCTTAGCCTCTTCTTCCCAGATCTCTCATACTACCCACCATGAAGAAAAGAGAAGGGCCAAGACAGACCTCATTTCAAATCCACCCTCCCCCATCTCTTCTACCCATTCACCGAGTACATTCAAACATGGAGCCAAACATGAGCCCAAGCAGCTCATGGTCCCCCAGTGACTTAACTTTGATGAATCTCAGTTTACCACTTCTAAAAGACCTGAAGCTAATAGTGGTGGTGCTGAAATGATTGAAATAGTCTCCTTCACATTCCACATTCACACAACCCCAGTAAGCAGGATGCAGTTTCTGGGTATTCTAGAGATCCTGTAAAATATGGGGAGAACTGGGAGTGTTTTCTCCACCCTCATTTGGACTGCCCTGGAATCCTGCCTGCCAGTCATTTGGGTTTCTTTGTCTCCCAATGGTCATCCAATGGTCAGGATGTCCAGGTCCAGACAAATAAGGACAATGGGCATTTCTTTGGGAAAATCTCACTTTTAGGAACCATCTGGTAAAGATCTTGAGATGGCTGGGGTAGAAATGAGCTATTTCCGCTACCCAGAGAGGTCTCAGGCCCGGGACCTATGGACAGGGCTCTAAACTGAGGACAGGTGTGCCCCACATTCTAGTCCTGGGCCAGCCTCCCTGACTCTGACCCCAGAGGCTTGCTGCCTCTGCGAAGGTATGCTTCCCCCAGCAGGGGTTAATCTTTGCTAGCCACCCACTCTAGGCACCCAGTACAGGGGGCGCTGGGCTGTCCTGGGCAGAGTGAGGGAGAAGCATAGGGAGGGAAGGCTGCTCAGTACTCCCTGGGAACCTGCTGAGCTGGCACTTGTTGCTGCCTAGTTACCGTGGAGATGTGCTTAATGCAGCGTTGAAAATACAGAATACTGACTCCTCTCTCTCTCCTGGCTCCAGACTCCCTCCCTCCCTCCCTTCCTCTTCTGGACCGTGAAATGAGATTGGTCAAGATAAAAAAGGAAAAGATTCGGTTATTTTTTTAAGAGTCTGGATAATGGGGCCTCTCAATCAAAATCCCAGACTCCAGTCGGCTCCCCCCATCCCCCTTCCAACCCCTCCACCTTGTCCTGCTGCCTGCTTAGAGGAGGAGGAAGAAACAGAAAGCACAGGCTTTGCTCTTAATTATGAATCATTCCCTGAGGGCAACCCCAGGGCAAGGGGTTCCTGGGACCAAGAATCTGACCTGTGAGGTAGCTGGAAAGCTTGGGCCTTTCATCAAAGACCCCCGGTTGTTTCCAGAAAGACTTCATCCAGAGTGGGTGCTGTGAAACACACACACACACACACACACACACACAACTACCACATTGACTGTAAGTGAATCACAAAAAGGAGGAACCTTGCCTTACACAGTGGATAGGCTCCCAGTAAGTTGGATGCAAATTAGTTTTCAGAAAATACAATACTATGTAAATGAATTACCTAGTTCCTAGGAATACTCTTGTGCAAATGAATTCTTAAAGACTTTTATTGTAGAAAAATAGAAAAATTATGTGTCCATCTCTTACTACCACCTGTGATCTCTCAGTTGACTTGAAATGAGGATTCCTTCTATTAAAGTCAGAAAGCTGAGTACCCACTGCATGCATGTAAGATACATAATAAATGCTTAAAGTAAAGCATACCAATAGCAGTCTTCAATCACTTGTGGAAAGGAGGAAATGATCATTTATTATGCACTTCTGCATGCCTGGCCATTTGCACATGCAACTTTACTTCTCATTTAATCTTCACTGTAAGACTGAAAGGCTGATATCATCCCAGTTTTACAGATAAGGAACTGGAGACTTAGAAAAGCAAAGTAGTATGCTCAGAATCATAACAATGCTAAGTTCTGAGTTGTTCATACAGATCTTATGATTTCAAATTTAGAGCTCTTTCTACTTAACCACACTGCCTCTCACCGTACCAGAAATAAAGACAAAAGCTATAGGGAGGCAACACAGGAAAAGGACCACGACACAGACTTCTCATATCCATTTGCCTTAGGTTGTTTTCATTCTCTTTCTCTCTGTCTCCAATAACACAGGCACTCAGAACAGTTCTAGAACAGAACCAAAAGCTCAAAATAGGTGGTCCATCCAGCCACTTATTCCTATCAATCTATCCATCCATACATCCTACCACCCATATTTCCATTTTCTATCCATCTTTCTGTCTTTCCATCTCTCCACCCATCCACTCATTCTTCCATTTATCCATCTGTTCATCTTTCCATATAGCTATCCTTTCATCTGTCCACTTTTCTGCTCATTTTTCCAGAATCTATCCTTCCATCTATAATCTTTCTGTGTACACATCCTCTCTTCTATCCGTTTTTCCATCCATCCATCTTTCCATACATCCACTCACCCAGCCATCCTTTTATTAGCAATATTTCCCTCATCCACATTCCACACCTTTTCGTCCATTCACCACTTTTTTGCCTAACAAATACTGTGATGATGGTATGGGATGGTGGGGGTACAAGAATACACAGGATGTATCTCACTATTCATGGAGCTTGCAACCTAATATTAGACAGAAATAGTAAAAAGCCAATGAATGAATAAACATGATTTCAGATTCAGATATATGAGTGTGAAGACAATAAAATGTGATGATGTATAAGGAGCCAAAAGGAGGAGATAACTAATTTAGATTGGGTGATCAGGGAAGGCCTGTCTGAGAGAATGTTCAGAGTGGTCAGCTACATAATAAAGGGCCAACCATCCCTGCCCCAACAGGACAGCAAATACAAAGGCCCAAGGGCAGGAAAGAATGAGTTTAGCATGGTATCACACGGAAAGAAAGTGAATGTATCAAAGAATCATGAACAGTCAGAGAAGATGAGAAGATGTTGGTAGTAGTAGTTGGTCAAGTTTTCAAAGATTACTCAGGCTTCTGAGAAACTAGATTGTAGACAGTCAAGAAAGAAAGCACAGAGACCAGTTAGGGGATGGTTGTAGTAGTTTTCACAAGAAATGACAGTGCCTTGTGCTAAGGATAGCAGAGAAAGAGAAGAAAAGTGATGATGATGAAACATTTTGGTGGTAGATCCAAAAACTCTGCTAGTGAATTGACTATAGGGATTAAAAAAAAATAGAGGAAATAGATAAATATAGATGATAGATAGATAGATAGATAGATAGATAGATAGATAGATAGAGACTAGGAAAGAGATGTAGTGGGTGCCAGGTGGAAATCAAGAGTTCTATTAGGCCTATTAAATCCCCAGTTTAATATTTCAGTAGGCACATGATATATTTCTAAAGTCAGAAAAGAATCTTGACAATAATATAAATTTCAGCCATTGGATAAAGCTGTTATTTAATGGCAAGTGATTAGACATTTCATTTGAAAGAGAATATGGATGGAAATTCACAGAATGCTCTCAAACCAAACTGGATTCTTCTACATAATTTAAGGTTTTAAAAGAGAAGCAGCCTGCAAAGAGGGCAAATAGAAAAGACAAATAAGTTACAAGCAAACTAGGAGATTGGGCATCATGGAAGCCAAAGGCATAGAGGGAGGGATGATCTAGTGGTTGAGGGAGTTGTGGACATAGAAGTGATCATTGCGGGGATCAGGTTAGAGATCGTGGGAATTTGAGTGGATTGGCATTGGCCTAATTGGCAGAGGGTTGCGAGGTAAAGGCAGACCATGAGAGAAAGAAAGTTGCTGGTGGCTAGAGAGGGATGTGGGTGGGAAGAGAATTTTTAAAAGACAGAATATAGCAGAGCATGTTTTTGTGCTGAAGGGATGAATTAGAAAGGGAGAAGAAGAAAAGAGGGGATAATTGTAAGGACCAAATAGGAGAGTAGGGTAGGGTGCAGAGCAGAGAACAGATCGGCCTCTCATAGGTACACGGACATTCATCCTGTATGGCTGCAGGCTGGTTGACCGATCTGGTAGTGGGAAGAAGCCACACTAAAGCCACACTACCTCCCCAGCCCCACATCCTACTCCAGCTTCCCTGTGACTGAAGCAGACAGGTATTCAGTGTGTGTTAGATAAATGTATGAGTGTGGGGGTAAGTAAATGCATGAATGAGTGACAAAATGAGAGGGCAAACATGTACAGTATTTTTCATCTATTGTCCTTGTCCTTGAGAGCTTGCAGTGTTCAGCACCAGTGTGGCGTATGGGCATGGGCGGGACCTCAGCTATGTAGCTAATGTAGACCCGGCTTCCTCCAAGGGAGCACTGAAAGATGCAGAATAGTACAGCAATCAGCAGGGGAGGGGGCTGCTGGCACTGGAGGTCAGAAGAGACCACTGGTGTAGGGCCAGGCTCTCATGAACCAGGAGGCATTGGGCAAATGTCCTTCTCTCTCTGCACAGCAGTCCCTTCACTGTCAGAGTGGATGATTGGATTAGATTATTTTTTAGCTTTCTTTCCCACTCCATCCCTTTGCTCCTTTGCTTTTTTCCCCCCTCTCTTCCCTCTTTTATTCAATCTGTGTTTGGCTTAGTCCCTCCCCTGGAGGAACTGACCATGTTCTTACTGTGAGCTTGCTGCCTATCACTGAGCCCCTAGACAAGGATAGGGTTCAGTAGCTTCTGTCCTCTGCCTTAAGCTCTCCTTGATTCCACTCTTCCTCTACAAATACTATTTCTCTACAAGGAATCAGCCCACATGGGCCCTAACCATGGCATAAGGCTGGTTGCATGACTGATTTGAGTCTCTATTGAACTCTATTTTAGAAACTGTTTCATGGAAAAGCAATAAGCTAATATTATTGAGTGCTTCTTATTATCCAAGCACAGTGCTGAATATTTAATTTAATATGTTATCTTATTTAATTCTCACTAAACTCTATGAGACAAGGACACCTAATTTTGCCCAATTTGACAGATGAGGAAACTAAGCCTCAGAGAAACTAGTGACTTATCCATGTTTACATAGCCAGAAATAGGAAATAGGGACTTTACTTCCACTAGGCAGGGTCTTGAGGCAAGAATTTCCACTCCAAAGAGGCTAGGAAGGCTACAAGGAGCCATTGAAGATACTTAGTTCATAATCAGAAGTGCATTTCTGAAAGGATATGTGGACATTCTCTGGATCTTGGAGTTAGCAGGAACCTGGCTTTGTAAACAAAATCATCTCATAGGTGCATTAAGGAATTATCTGGAATTTAGGGTCAAAAGGTCTAAGGTCAAATTCTGCCCCACCATGGAGACAAACTACTTAGTCATGCTGCACTTAATTTCCTATTCTATAAACAGGCAGTGTGAATGATTGTGAGAATAAGAAGGAAGAATGAGTGGCAGAGTGGACTGTAAACCCCAGACCGAGTACCAGGAATAGCTGTGTTGCTCAGCTTAACTTTGTTGCTGTGATATAAAGGAATTCTTAAGTAATTTCCTGAGTAAATAATTCCTTTGGGAAAGCCAAGCAAGAAAGAAATCACAGGACAAAATGATTTGATTTACTTTGTGTAAATTCATACACTGAGTTTGCTTAAAGTGGCAACACATTCTCAGAGGAAGTCTCATAACACAGCCTCCCCAAGAGGGAAGCTTCCTCAATCCTCAGCATCTCTCCATGCACTTGTGTGTGCATGTGTGCGTGGATACAAATTTACACCTAGGGAGACTGAAAAGTTCTTATATACAAGTTCTCTCTTTGGCTGCTACACCCCATGCCCCTGCCCTGGGCCCCTGTGGACAGTCCGTTCTGCACAAGGTCCAACAGTGGGAGAAGATGGCTTAGAATCTGGGCCCTAGAGGCACAGCACAATCTCCATTCTGCACTCAGACTTCCAGGTTCATGAGCTTCTGCAGATCCCACAGCCTCAATTCTTAACCTGGAAATTGGGATGATGATAACATCTCTCTCCTGGGGCTCCTTTGAGGAGTCAGGTCAGTGCCTCCAATGCCTGGGGAAAAGAGTGCTGCCCTAAATGACCCAGACTGTGGACTCCAAAGGATGATGGAAGGTCCCCCTCCCAGGCTTGCTCATCCCCAGGCTCACCACAGCAGGCCCTGTAGACCCTTCTTCCCCACTTCACCCCACAGTGGTGCCATAATCTTATAGGTCTCTCACCTATGTGCCTCCAACAGGAAGTGAATACTCTGGCAATGCCTACGGCCACACCCCCTACTCCTCCTACAGCGAGGCCTGGCGCTTCCCCAACTCCAGCTTGCTGAGTAAGTCCCTGGGTGCCCAGGCCTTCTGCTGGGCAGGCAGCAGGGGTGGGAGGCCAGGCTGGGCCAAAAGCTGTCTGAGTCCTGGGAGACCTCAGATTAGGTGGAGGACCTGGGAAAAAGACTGTCTTTTATAATAGGGGTAATTAGCACAGTGTATCTGGCTACTGGGAGGTGGGGGGAGAAGACCAGAAACTTCCTGACTATATCTCCCTCCTGCTCCTCAAGGGCAAGTCTGTTAAGTCTTTGTTTTGCCTAAGATTTAGACTCTGGCCTGGAGAGAAGGGTAGAGGTAGACTAGAAAAGTGGGTGGTGGGGTGGATTACAGCCCCAAGGCTGCAGAACTGTCTCCTGCAGGTACCCACTGCCCTCCTTCCCAGGAGCTTCCCCCATTAACTGTCTGAGTGGGTCACAAACAATCATGATTCAGCACTAAAGCCCTTACACAGAAACCCTTGTTCCACCGAGTTCTCTGTAATTTAGCTTGAGAAGTGAAGAGCACTCAAGGGCAAGGTACAGGGAGTTGGTGAGGCTATTGCTTCAGGAAACTGGAAACAAGGGATCCCACTAGAGCCTCCCTGAGTGGTGGTTAGGGGTTGTCAGAGCAAATCCAAGCCAGAGAGCAATGGTTCAAGGATGGCCAACCTCACCATTGCAGGCCGAACCATCCATCCCCTCTCCTGCTGATACTGCCTGGCATTACAGAAATGACCGGAAGGATGACCGACCTGGGTTCTGTGGCCGTGTGCTCAACCCCAAGCCACCTTTGTTCAGAAAGAACTAGGGCAACAAGAATCTCTGGGAGTGAGGGCACCTTCCTACTGAGCCTCCCCCAGCCACCCACCTACCCAGGTATCCAGAGCCCAGGCCCAGACCTCCTTTACCAGTTAGGAGCCTAATCCCCCTGGATGTTAAAGGCAGATTCTCTGACCTGTAGCTGTTTGGGCAAGGCTGGGGAGGATCCTGATGGCCCCACAATGTGCAATTCTTGGTATTCTACATAAAACTGCTCTCCATTGCCCTCTCCCGGCAAGGAGGGTGCTGAAGGTCAAAGCAGTCAACGGGGAGGGGGCAAGAAGCCACCATTCTTATTCCAGCCAGAAACTCAAAGGTGAGGCCAGAGAAGGAGGAAGCAGGGCTGGAGAGGAGTTAATCTTTGATGATCAGATAGGCCAGGGGGATAAATGATTAACTGGACTTGTCTTAAAGGTTAGCAGATGCAGGCAAGGCTTTGCTGCAACTTCCCCTCTGACCAGCACTGTTGTTATTTTTTTAACATGTCCAGGTTCCCCGTATTATTACAGTTCCACATCAAGGCCAAGTGCACCGCCCTCCACTGCCACGGCCTTTGACCATCTGTAGTTGCCATGGGAGTGACCAGGCAACAGGAGGACTCAGCCTGGGACAGGCCCCAGAGAGTCATACAAAGGAATCTTTATTTATTACATGAAAAATAACCACAATTCCAGCATTGCAGCTCACTCCCTGTGTGGTTAATTTAATGAACTATGAAAGACAGGAGGATCTTGGAGAAGGCCAAATGTCTTCCAAGACTCCTTGAAGAGGGACAGGAGTCCCAGGGGATGAGAATCATTCCATTCCAAAAGTGACAGGAGGAGAAATGTGCCTGGGCTGGTACCCACCCAAGGAGAGAAGAGGAACCCATGGAGCTCAAGGGGGATGACAGATGGGACCTGCCTGGCCCAAGGGCACACAAGGACCATGTGCATAGCTCTTCCAACCATACAACTCCAGCAGTTGTGGACTAAGCAGGTCTTTCCAGCCCACTGATCACAGCCTGTGCCAAGGCTCTCCCCATCGGTCACCCTGAGAATCATCTCGTCCAGTCTCCTGCCCTCTGCTGTCCAGCTTGCTTGGCTCTCCCTACACTTCCCTTCTGGGCATGGGTGGAAGGCTAGGCAAATAGACCAGAAATTCCACCGGGTTGTCAGCTGACCTCCCTTTCTCTGTTGCTGTGAGTGTACAAGCACCACCCCAGCCTCTCCCATAGCAGCTCATCTCTTTGGCAGCTGCCATCAGCCAGAAAGCAACTGGAGACAGACATCCCAAAGGGCCCTGGCCCCTGGGGGATGAGGTGCAGCTCTGCCCAGAGCAGAGGCAAGCAGAATGGTAGAGACTGATTTCCTTCCCAACAGCTCCTGCCAAGCCAATGGTGCGCCTGCACTCCACCCCACGCAGCCACCAAGGAGACCCTGAAGCACCCCCTGAAGCCAGCAAGGAGGGTCCCTCTCTGGCCCCCACAGATCCTTCCCCTAAGACCTGATTGTAAATATTGTAAATGAAGCTCTATTTGGGTCAAGCTTCCCTCTTTCCATCTCCCACTTTGCCCTCTTGAGTGAATTGTCTCCCCACCATGTTGGGCTTCTCTCCTTGATGCTTCTTTCTTTTTTAAGGACAACCCACCATTGCCACATGACTCAATAAACCATTACTCTTCTTCTTAGGCTTTGGGCTTAGCTGGGGTAGGGTGCATTTGGGGTTGGCTGATATGCTCACTTTGGAGCTGTGGGCTGGAAAGGACTATCTAATGCCCCAGGACCCTGACTTAGCATTCTCCCTCATGTACAATGCTGGGTAAATCAATTCTTCCACTCTGAGTAAATGGGAGGATCCAATGAGCACGTGGCATGGTTCAGGTCAATCATATGCTCCTCACAAGCAGCTGCTGTGGGTATCAATAGGAAGCCAGAAAATCAGCAGAGAAGCCCACATAATCAGCTTGGGGGCCCCATGGTGATGAAGTAGGGAAGGGAGAACCCTGTGCTCTCCTATATGTCAGGTACAGTGTGGAGGGCATCATGAAAGTGAAATTGAGAGGAGCCTTATTTTACATAGGATGGAACTGAGGCTTAGGGAAAAAAAATGAAATAGCTGCCCAAGGTGGAAAGTTGGGGATTCAACCAAATCTTCTGATTCTATGTCAAGCACTTTGTGTGTGTGTGTGTGTGTGTGTGTGTGTGTGTGTGTGTGTAGTAGTAGTAGTAGTAGCAGTAGTAGTGGGAATTAAGCCCAAGGCCTTCACACTGAGCTACATTCCCAGCCCCTCTTTAAAACTTTGAGATAGGGTCTCACTAAGTTGCCCATGTTGGGTTCAAACTTGCCGTCCTCCTGCCTCAACCTTCTAGAGTGCTGGGATTACAGGGATGCACCACCATGCCTTAAAAAGTCAAGCACTTTCCCCCAATACCATAGGGCCTTCATCAGGGACGCCAGAGGGTTCTGGACAAAAGGGGGTTGGAGGACTGCTCCGGAGGGTCTAGTTTCTTTTAATTCAGTCCTAAAGATCTGACTTGACTGAGCAATGGAGAGGTACAGGGTGGAGGGGCCAAGAGGGGGTGAGGGCGGCTTCAGGGATCCAAGACCACCCTTCCAGGAAGCCTAGGAACAAAGGAGGAGGCACAAGGTGACATGAGGTGTTGGCCCTGTGAGGGCTGTCACATGTCTGCCTAGACCCTCATCTCCATGTGGGGCCCAGCGGGAATAAAGGGGTGGGGCTGAGACAGATGAAAGAAGGGGGATCTCCAGCCCCACCCAGGATCTGCCAGGCAGGAAGGGGGGAGGAGAGGAACAGGGCTGTGACCTCCATATAGGGCTCCCAAAGGAGAGGCCAGAGATACTCAAGGCCCAGGTGGGGCATGAGAACAGTTGTGCCAGGAGGGGAACCTTCCCATGAAGGAAACCTGTCCCTGTCTCTTCAGGGGGAATCTGCAAGGAAGTTTATTTTGTTTTGTCTTGTTTTGTTTTGTTCATTTTTATTAGTCCACGTTGGCAGTACATAATGATTACATTCATCGTGGGGAGTTGGTACATGTACATCACACATCTTAATTCTTTTTATATCCCTTTCCACTCCCTCCCCTCCTGAAGCTCATTTTTCCGTGATAGGGCTTCCCTCGAGCTACAAGTGTGGCAGCAGGACTCTGCAGCCCATTGTATCTGAGGCTTTTCATGACCCGAACTGCTGGGCTCCTGAGCACCCTGAGACAACCCTCACCCAAGGATCCCTTTGAGATCCATGGTGTCCCCGGGAGCCCACACAGTGATCTTTTTCTGCATTCACAGCCAAAACCTCTCTGGGGACACTGTGTCTCCAAATCCTAAATGACAAAGGGGCTTGAGCTATACTTTTGCTGTGGTGACCTTCATACAAAACTCACCTCCCTTTGAGCTGAGCTGGTCATCTCAGGCCATCCGGCTGAAAGTGGCTGTTTGGTGATTGTGTGGTCCAGGACCTATCCAGGTATTCCATCCAAGGGACTCAGAAAATGTAATCATTTGCATACTGGGTGACAGACAACTGCAGATACCTTGGCACTGAGGATGGCATTGGAAGTTGAGGTGGTACAGGAGAAGCCACGATGAAGGGTGTGAGGACCAGGATAGAGAGGACACACAGGACACTTCTGGAGTGCAGCTGAGGAGCATGTTCACCAGGGGAGCGAGGGAAGCACCCAGGAGTGACTGTGTCAAAGGGGTTAATGCACCATGCAGGGAGACGGGGCCCCAGAATCGTGTGTGTTGGTGGGAAGACTGGGGCTAAGGCAGGGCCTGGGACATTCCCAGAGGATCCAGAGCCACCCGTCACTGCCTCCCACCACTGTACTTGGAACAATCCCTCTCACTGCCCATGTGAACAGACCTTATCAGCTGTCCAGACAGCTCATCCTGGTCCATACTCCCGTCTCCTCCTATCCTCCCTGCCTCCTTGACCATCCAGGCTGGCCCAGGGTGCAGGAGCTTGAAGGAAGTCCATGGGAATAAGGCAGCCCTAAAGGGCAGCCAGTGGGTTTCTTGCTGGAGGACAGAACAGCTGCAGCCCAGTCTCAGCCTACCAGGTGGGCAGAGCTACCCTGACCTTCTGGCTGCCATGAACCTCCAAGGGGAGGAGGACATGGGTGTCTGTCTCCAAGGCCAGCCCACAGGCTGAATCTAATCTCTCCCTTTTCCCTCACCTTCTTTCACATCGCCAAAGTTTTTGCCCTGACTTATTGCTAAATGTGTGTTCTGCCCACTGTGTGTCAGGCATGCGTTCGGCCCTCACAACAAACTCAGGCAAGAGCAAACTGGTGGCCACAGCCCACTGATCCTGAAACAGGAGCCAGTTCAGATTTTCCCACTCTTACCTGCCACCCTCGTCCTCCTGCTTCTATGCCCCCCAAAGCACACGCTTTTCCCATCTCTATCAACACTTGCTTTCTTCATGATACAGTTCCTTTAAGGGGGGATAAGAAGAGGGGGACCAAGAGGCCTGCTAACCCACATCAGTGGGTCTGTGCCTCAGCACCAGCTCATGAGTCAGAGGCAAGGGGAAGCCTGGGGGGCTCCGTTCCCTTTCTGCATCGCCTGTCCCCACCCTCTCTCTGCTTCTCTCAGAAGTTACAGTAGCCCTCCACACAGGCCTAGACCTTTCCAGGTACCAAGCTCACTGATATCCACTGAGGTCTTTGATTCCAAACACTGGCCTTGCTTTGCAGTTTGAGAAACTGAGAGCAAGATATGACTGCCAAGGTCATTCAGCTACGTCAACAGAGGAGCTGAGACCACAGCCCGACCACTACCCAGAGGTCTCACTGCATCCCAGCCCAAAGCCTGGGAAACCTGGATGTGCCCAGGCTTTTGGGAGACCTCAGGCACCCCCTGCTCTGTGGGGAGGGACAGAGGTAACTTGGTCAGTGAGGACATGGCCACGCACTCCCAACTTGGCCAGTAGCCTGGACAAAAGGCACCAAGACAGCAGAACGTGCTCTGGGCAAGGGCCAAACTCTGCCAGGCTGGTCCCTCCACAGGCTTCCCAGGCCACCCCTTGGGAACTGCTCACCAACCCCTCTGTCGGAAAGGTGCTTTCTGTGGAAAGTTGACTGCTCTTCTGTGATCGCCTCCAGACATCCAGGGACCAGGATGCCCATTGACCCCTGAAGGCTACCTCCTTTCTCTGTCCTCTTTCTCTTTCCTTTATTCACACATTTTATTTCTTCTGTGCTCCCTCTCCAGCTGGTTAGAGGCAGTGACTCTTTGCCCCACTTCCTGACACCCGCTGCCTCCAGGGCTGTGGATGCCTGAAAGAGAAAGTGAGAGTTTGGGAAGGCTCGGAGGCCCACAGGTGCTCAGGAAATGCCCAGACACATTCTCCTCCTGTCTCTACTCTTTCTCTCTTGGACTTCTTGCTCTTCTCGTTGATTTCTTCTTTTCCTCGGGCTCTTTGGGGGCCCCTGGGACACAGACCCTGCCAGTCAATAGCTCCAAGATGCCACACCCTTGTCCCCAGGACTTCCACCTCATGAAATCAAGCACAGTTCACTGTCATTAGCCTGGCCTCTGCACTCTCAGCCCCAAACAGAGCTGGACCCCTGGTTCTTCCTGGAGGAAGCTGGAGGAGGCTTGCAGGACAGGTGTCGCCTTCCCTTCTGGCCTTCCCCCCGCCCTGCTCCATCTCCTTCCTCCTACTCTAGGGCAGCAGCTTGGGCTGAGGGGACAGTGGTGGAGAGGCTTCCAGAGACTGGCGAGGGCGAGCAAAGGGCTCCAGTGGGTGGGAGGCTGCGGGGTAGGGGAGCTGCCCCGCTTCCCCACATCTGTGCCCTGTGGCAGCAGGCCAGGCTGGGGAGTGAAGCGCTGCCTGCGGCGCTCCCAGGGAAATGTGATTTCCCTTGAGTGAAGCGGACTGTGCAGTGTGGAAATTGGCTCTTTTCTGAGCGAGCGGCGGCGGCTGTTGCTGTGGAGTCGGGCGGGCTGGGGCCGGCGGGAGGCCGAGCTGGCCCCTGGAGTGAGCCGGGAGCAGCCATGTGCTGAGAACTCATTAGGGATAAATCAAACTAGTAACAGCATGAAGCCAACACCCTCCCCCGCATCACGCCTCCCTTCCCAACCCCTGTGAGACCCCCCTGCTTCCCTCTCCTCCACAGTGGTCCTCTCCCATCGGACTCCCTCCTGCCTTTCCCCAGCCAGGGCACCCTTCTCGGGCTCCCAGAGCTGGACCCCCTCCCCCAGTGCACATGTCTGGTGCAGGTGTGTGCACACACACATTCCCACCTGCGACCTGAACTCCGGGAGCCTCCTCAGTGAGATACACGTTCATCTACAATCACGGCTTGTCTGGTTTGCTTCCTATTTACTTGCTTTCTGGGCGGAGGTGGTGGCACCGGTAGCACTAGGAGTGCGGGCTGGGGCTCCCCTACCTCATCTTTCTATGGCCATGTCACCAGCCTCCCTGCCTCTTCAACCCTTGTGCTGGATTCCTAGGTGGCCCCCTGGAGGGGAGCATGAGTTTCCCCATCTGTGTCCCTCTGAGGAGAAGAGAGCACCCAAAGGATGTACAGCAGCAGGGGGAAATTATCCCTAGAGTGATGGGCTTGGTCCAAATGGAGATGCATTTCCAGCAAAGGAGAAAGGAGAAGAGAAAGGGGAAGGGCGAAGCTGGGCCCAGGCCTCCTCCAGCTCTGAGTGGGT